CTAACTATGGGTCGCTATGACGACTCTACCCATGAAAAAGAGGATGTTTCAAAGCATGTTTTTAATGGTTGCTGGATGTACCCAACATTTGGTGCTGAACTGATGTCTGTGGGGCAATCTTTCCACAAAGCCTATATTACCTAAATAAAAAAATAATGATTTGATATATTTCAAGGTGCTACAGTCAGGACATCATGAATCATGATACTGACATAAAGGCCAGTATTTATCAGACTGCTTTATCATTCCAAAACCCATCAACAAGAAAATATGGTGATTTCCCAGGTACTGGGTAGTTGTATAAATCAGCTCCGGGGGGGACGACTCAGAAACCATTCAGTGAATGGGTTCAAAGCCATTCAGTGTGCTAAATTTCACCATGGGTCAGTGTGACCTTGTTTTGCAGTGCTGCTCAAAAGTCCCTTTCATATTAGTAATATAGTTTGGCAAAACTGGCTCTCATTATCTCTCTAAATAAATAAAAAAAATTGCTTTCTGCAAAGGTGATTTATGATTTATTTAGATTTATAACAGGCAGGGGACAAAGATGAATGAATAATACATGCATTGTTATCTGATACATTTTGGATTACTTATAGAAGACTAGCTGAGATTTGCCCTCATTTACAGTTCCTTCGATTGCGCTTTTCCGCTGCCTAAAAAGAGATCTTTACTGTTTGTCACTCAGCATTATAACAGCCAGGCTCCAGAATTAATATGTGCTTAGGAGGCGTGTGAGACTGGCTAGGTAGAGTACATTCATTTCAATGAGAGAGTTTTTAGATTAAGCAATTCCGCAGCTTTGATTTATCAGCTTGCTTTTGTTTTAAGCTGTAGCTTATTAAATGGAATTCTCAGTTTGTACAGAGCCTACATGCCCTCTCCTGCCAGGCTCTGCATTTAAAAGCCTAGTAAACACGGAGGGATGCAACAGGTTGAGGTGCCTGAGGAATTCCTTCCCTATGAATTCCAGTGGGAAGTGATGTGGCCTGCACATGTCAGTTGGAATGTACTTATTATTCAGATTTCACATTTCTCCAAAATTTGTGACATAGTTTTTGGCTCAGAAAAGTTACCCATTTTTTTTACGAAATACAAATTCAATTATAAAATACATTTCAAGATCTGCATATATAAAAAATACATATAAAATATGTATTTTGTGATGCAATACACCCTAAAATACACATTGGTATCCAATGCTATGCAACAGGACTTCCATTCCCTCTTCTGCTCCTGCCCCTCAACCCACAAATTTGCTCCAGAGCTTATTTTGAGGGTGCTGGGGTGGGTGGCAGGGACAGTAGAGGAAGTTCCATTGCATGCATCGAAGTGCTTTGCACCAGCAGAGCTGCAATGGTGGAATTTGCTCTGATGTGATATAATTTGCACTGCTCTGTTAGAATTCCTGCTCCGTGATTGCAGTCATGGGATTGTTGTCTATCACATGACGATATATGTTTTGACTCCACAGAGTGGGAAGTGACGGAGACAGGATGTTTGTGTTACTGTGTTCCGTGAAGTGGGACTATTGTCCTTGTTCTTTCTCTTTGCTGTCTGATGCTAGAGAGAGAGGGAGCCATGTTGCAGTGCTCCATGTGTGTTTAAATGTAAATAAAGTAGATTAGCCAAAATGCTGAGTTGCTGAGGTCTGTTACGCAAGCTGCGAAGACTCTGCGGATCCCTAACTGTGCCGATGTCTGTTGGCATTGGTCACTGTGATGTTCAGGCTGAAGAAAGCTTTTGAGGCTCCCGAATGATCGACCAGGAGGGAGAGAATATGCCAGTCGGGCATGTGTCTCTATCAGGGTCCTACTCGAGTGTAGGACGAGCTCCTGACATGCTCTAGTTGCTGCAGCTGAGCTGAAACTTTATTATTACTCACAAAACTTTATCTGTGCTGATATGTGTGGCAAGCACAGCCCCAATTTGTTTGCAGAGGTGTGATGAATTGGACCACAGAAAAGAAGGCAACCTTTGCTTCAGATGTTGTGGGAGATTTCAGAGAGCAGGCACACCAAATTATCTTTTCATATTCATCAAAGAATATTAAATCCGGGGAAAAAGTTCACCACTGCACATCCAGACAATGGAAAGGTCTCCTGAATGATGCTCTCTGAAAATGTAATTTCCCTTGGTTTATGTTTTTTTCCTCCTTCTTATAGGGTTTGGAAAATAGCAATGTTTTAAAAGTTGTGCTTTTGTGTTGCTGATAAATATCATCCAATAACAATGTTCTTTAGGCAAAGAATGGACCGTGTGAGATGGCAGACTGATCCAGACTGTTTCATTTCTTTTAGCTTTATTAGTTTTTAGATAACCACAAAAATGAAGCTTGCCATGTAAATATATTAACTGACCTGTCAACTGCAAACAGATTTTTGTGCACAAGAATGGTCTCAAGAATTGATTAACAGAATTGGTTAACACTACCGAGGGTGTGTTTTTGACATGCAACATTTTACCCAAAGGGTTCTCATGGAGTATTGGAGAAGTGTTCTGGATAGCAGGCCAAATGGCTTGTAATGGAAAGCAGAAATCACTGTCAGCTGGATAAGGGCCAGTTTTGCATTGCCTCTTATTTTGCACCACAGATCTCACACCCTTGCCCTCTTTCTACCCACATGCCATGCTGCTCCTTCTACTCCCAGCCACGCTGTCTCTTCCAATAGTTCCTGTTGAAAGCCACCATGGTGTAGTGGTTACAGTGTTGGCCAGGGACCTTGGGAAGTTCAGCTAGCTCTTGCAACACCCCAGCTAGCTCTCAGTTTCCAATCCTCAAGGGGCTTAGGTGATCAACCACGGAGTTCAGGAAGCATGAAGTCATGAGATAGTGGCTAGCAGGGGGGGAAACACTGCTGGGCCTACCTATCTGAAGATCTGTAGGATTAATCCCCCTCTTGAGGGGCTACAATGTCTCCAAATGTCAAGTACCAATTGCAAAAACAAGCAGTTCATTGTTGCTTTGATCTTATCAATGAAAGTCAGTGGGAGGACTGAATATTTGGATTTGCAAATATTTCTCCTATGCAGGGTCTAAGGCAGGGACACTTCAAAGCAAAGAAGGGCCCAGCCCAGAGCTCTGACTGTGAGGCTGCTATTATTATTATTTATTGCATTTATAGCTTGCCTTTCCCAAAGGAGCCCAGGGCGGCAAGGTGGGGCCGCCTCACACATCCCCTGTTGACATCGTAAGCATGCATATTAGGAAGCAAGTGAATCCTATTGAACTCAGTGGAACTTGCTTCTCTGTAAACATTGCTAGGATTGGACTGCAAATTTTCATTTGGAAGTGCATGTCAAGGCTTAGATATTCTGTACAATTACTGAGATCTAGCATGTGAAGTGTTTTGAATGCTCTAAAATGTTGCACAAATGCTAAGTATTATTATCCTCATTGTCCCCTATTAAGCCTTTCATCTTCCTAGGCAACCACAGGGAGTTTGTTCTCCAGTCAACCCTGAAGCTCACTCACTTTGGGTCAGCCACTGTCCCTCCACCTGACCTCCCTCACAGGGTTGCTATGAGGATAAAACGGGGGGGGGGCATGTATTTCCACCACAAGGAAAGGTGGGATGCAAATAGAACTCATCCCAGAGTCCCCCTCTTCATCCTTTCCCTCCATGTCACTGTTCAGCCCTCAAGCCTGGGAGGTTATCTTGCAATGTTGATATTACAACAGGATGCTTATTAATCTGCATCCCAGCCAACGCTTTTGTTTTGTAGTGAAATGCTGCAAAGTTTGGCTACATCTACACCACGCAGTTAAAGCAGTATCATGCCCCTTTAGTAGGGCAGTTCATAAAAATCTTTTTTTTTTTAAATGCCTGCCCCAAAGGTCTTATCTTACTACACTAGGGATTATATAGCTATATCTGAAATTTCATGCATATCAGTTAATATCTTGACCCTGCTCCACTGAATTGAAATTTCAGCCCTCACGACAAAGGAAAACAGCCAAGTAAACAGCTACAGTGGTACCTCGGGTTACATATGCTTTGGGTTACAGACTCCGCTAACCCAGAAATAGTATCTCAGTTTAAGAACTTTGCTACAGGATGAGAACAGATATCGTGTTCTGGCGGTGCAGCAGCAGCAAGAGGCCCCATTAGCTAAAGTGGTGCTTCAGGTTAAGAACAGTTTCAGGTTAAGAACAGACCTCCGGAACGAATTAAGTACTTAACCCGAGGTACCACTGTATTTTCGTAGAGGAGGGTCAAGATATTAACTGATATGCATGAAATTTCAGATATAGCTATAAAATCCCTAGTGTAGTAAGATATGACTTTTGGAGCAGGCATTTTCAAAAATTTTCAAAAAAAAAAAATTATGAACCACCCTACCCTTTAGTCAGTTGTGGTTTTCCACATCCTGAGAACTATAGTTTGTTAGGGGTGCTGAGGGGTGCTATAGTTTGTTAGGGGTGCTTAGGAGCTTAAGAGAGCCCTGTGCTTCTCATGGAGCTACAATGTTCAGAGTTTCCTGGGGGAGAGATTGGCTGTTAAACCACTGTGGTTACTGAAGCCTTACAAAAGGAATAGGATTCTCCAAGCAACTCTCAGGACCCTGAACAAACAACAACTCCCAGGATTCTTTGAGGGAAGCTATGACCATTTAGAGTGGCATGGTACATCTTTCATTAGAGGAGGCAATGGCTCCGAGGACATGGACTGCCAGGGAATTCCTGCTTTTGGTGTAATATTTTTAATTGTGATTTTTATGAAAATAATGCAAAACAGTACCAAGAAATTTTTTTTTAAAAGGTCAAATATCAGATAGGATCAGGATGAAGTACCCTGCAGAAAAGAAAACATATCAGGTATACCATAGATTACATAAATCAATCCCAATATTTTTGTAGCAAAGTCAATATGGAGTGGAAAAGGCATGCGGCTCAAAAATTATATTTTCCATATGTTCGGTAAGGCTGAGGGAAGAGACTGGTACAATTGTTCATTACAGACATGTAAGACGAAGCCCCACCATACAGTGGTAAAAGAGCCCACAAAATAGCTCAGTTGGTAAAGCATGAGAGTCTTAATCTCAGGGCTGTGGGTTTGAGTCTTGCATTGGGCAAAAGATTCCTGTATTGCAGGGGGTTGAACTAGATGACCCTCATGGTCCCTTCCAGCTCTACAATTCTCTGGTTCTATATTTCTCTGTGGTTTATCCACATAATATCTAAGTAAGTCCAGTTTAGCTTTTCCAGCCAAAAATCTAATATGCCAAGTGATTCCCCCCCCCCAAGCACAATGTTCCACACATTTTGCCACTAAATAGAGATAGTGATATTGGCTAATGTTTTCCGGCCAATCGTTGTTGTTATTTGTTATGTTTTCATCTTTTAGAGATGCAGCTTTAGATTTTTAATTATTGTAAAGATTTTTTTTCTGATGTTGCATAACTGCCATGGTTTCCTATGGGAGGACGGGTGAAACAGAAATGCATAATGTTTATGCAAATACTAATATTTTAAGCTTAAAAGCAACTGGAGAAGGAGTAGAATTGGGTTGTTTATTTATATTAAGTGCTATAAATTGTTCATAAACCACCAAAATCTCTCGAGCATTTACATACAAATGCAACACTGGTGTTCAGTGAAATCTCCAAAAAACAACAACAACTAGATTGAAACCAGATTAAAACAGAACAAAACAGTTAGAGATGATGAGAACTGTAGTTCAACAACAGCTGAAGGTCACCACATTGATGACCCTTGACTAAGACCAAGTATTCAGTGTTCTCACATGGAAAGCTCTGAAAGGAATAATATTAAGCCAGGAGTGGCCAACCTTTGGGGGCCAGTGGGCACATTTAGAATTTTGAGGAAGTGTCATGGATGCCAATCAGAAAATGGCTGCTGTGGGGGGTAACTTGACGCAAAACGGCTTCTACACAAAAAGCACAAAAAGAGACAGGAGTACAAGACGCAATTTGAGTGCGACACCTCAGAATTACAGAAGCCACCCCAGCTTCTGATTGGATTCTGGGAATGTCCTGTCTTTTGCTCTGGTGCGAGTCAGCTTGCTTGTGCCAGAGCGCTGGACCAAAAGAAGCTCATTTTTTGGTCTCATGCTCTTGCACGAGTCAGCTGGTTCTCACAAGAGCTCAGGACCCAAAAATGAGTATCCCAATTTTGATTGGCGAGATGTTGGAGAGCATGAAGGCGGCATTTGCATGCCCTCATCATCCCCCACCCCCATGCGTCCAATCCTAGTGCATCCAATGTGGGCAAGTCTGAAAGGGTGTGTTCGAGTGTAGGAGAGGCTGAACCAGTGCAAACAGGAAGTGAGCAGGAAGAGTAAACCATTTCTCATGGAATGAGGATTTTGGGGGTGCTATATATGTACTTTTGCAGGCACCATAAGAGGTACTGGCAAGCACAATGATGCCCACAGGTACCCCATGGGCAACTCTTGCATTAAGCAGCCAAGATTAGTCACAATCTGGCATGGTTAGGTAGCACTAGGCCCATTGGTTAAGCACATCCAAGCTGAATTGTGACCATACTTTCAAGAAAAAGAAAACAGGAGTTCTCCCTATGGGATAAGCACCAATAACAAAACACACAAAAGCTTTCCTGTGAAATGTATTTTATATTATCTAAGATTTCAGGAAATACATTTAATGCAACCTTCTAAGCCTGCATGTAGCATTTCTCTCTGTATTCTGAATGTTCCCTGCTATTCTGACGCAAACTTCAATCACCACTATAATTTTAATAAAGTCCGTTTATCGTGGTCCTCTATTGATTATGGCATGCATTTACAGTGGAGCTCAATTAGCTGATTACTAAACTGGAGAAAAAGAAAAAGCATTGGAGTATGGATGGAATCAATTTGCATGGTATAATGGATTGTGACCTTTCCCTCTTTTGCAGAACCATTAGATGAGCTGAAGATCAGGAGCCACAGCACTGAGCCACTACCAAAGCTGGAAAACAAAGAGAGAGGAGGTCACCATGGGGCATCTTCCTCCAGAGAGCCAATAAAAGCTCAGGAATGGGATGGCACACCAGGACCACCACTTGTGTCTAGCAGACTTGGAAGGTCTTCTGTTAGTCCAACCATGTTGGCAGGAAATAATAGCTCAGGTAAGTGTGAGTACAGAAGAAAATAAATAGATATGCAAGGGCTGAGTTTCTAGATCAGGTGCAATGGGCTACCTAGCACAATATCTAGCTCTTTGGGAAGTACTAGTTAATGAGAGATTAATGACATGTGAGCCTTTTGAGCATTTTGTAGGAATGCAAAAGGGGTCCAGTTGAGTGAACAGAGGATAAGAAGCCCTGCAAGGACTCTCCTTAAGTGGATATGATGCAAGAAGCCCTATTTCCTGCTGGGGATCATGGGACCTTGTTTTCTCCCATGCAAAATGAAGCCAGGCTTTTGGAGTGGGGGGGAGTTTGAGCTCTCGCCTTGGACATTTCGCATTGTCCTTATGCAAGAATCCAAGGTGGCATGCTATTAGCTTCATTGATCCAAGATCAGCAGCTTTCTGGCTTATCAGGACTCTCCTACATCAGGGCGTGAGAATGCGACAGTGGATTGGTCCCGTAGAAAGAGAAGCAAAATAGGTAAGGCTATTCCTGCTGTGTTGAACAACTTCTTTTGTTTGTTATATAGTGCTACTCCTGTGCTGGTCCCAGAACACCAGAGACAAAATAGGTAAGGTGATGCATCTTGCTAAAATGACTTCTACCTAAATTAGAAGACTGAAAGCTTACACACACTCACCAATGGAAACTGGTCCAGCAACAGGTAAGTGTGTTTCTTACATTGTGTATCAGTTCTATTGCTGAGTGTGTCTAAGCTTTCCTCCCAGCCCACCACCGTTGTAGGCCCTCCTCACACAAGACTGTTGCAATAGCAGAATTCAAAGCAAAGGACTTCCTAATTTTGCACATTGCAAGTGTGCTGAAGTTTTAAAGTCAGTCAGTTACATTCCAGATAGGGTGGTCAGGTGTCACACTTTACAGAGGACTGTACTCTGCAGCAAGAACGGAAGAACAAAGGACGAGCCTTCAGGATCAGGCCAGTGGCCCATCTAGTCCACCACCCTGTCCTCACAGTGACCAACCAGATACCTATGGGAAACCTGCCTGGGAGACCTGAGCACAACTTCACTCTCGCTTCCTGCTCTTTCCAGCAGCTGGTATTCAGAATCGTACTGGAGACAGAACATATCCATCAGGGTTAGCTAACCGTTGATAGCCTTACCCTCCAGGAATTTGTCTGGTCTGCTTTAAAAAATGAAGAACCACAAGAAGGGACAGTAGCAGTCTTGAAGTTGCCCATCAACAGTTAGTCAGAAGCAGCTGACTGGATGGGATAAAGCCATCATGCTATTTTCTCTGCAGGTGGGTCACTGCTGCTATCCCTTCTCATGGTTCTTTCTTTTTAAAGCAGACCAGACAATTCCACGCCACCCTCCCTGGCATCTTGCCCCCTTTCCCTCCCAGTAAACAACAGCGACCTAACTAGTTTAGCAGCTGGACCACCCCACCCTGCACTAATCTGCTTCAGCAGCTAGTACCAAGACAGCAGAATGAACAGGCACACAGGTCACCTGGTCACAGTCTTCCCCACAATGGCGAGATGTATTGCATTTCTATTTAAATTCTAAAACTTCTTTCTAACTTTGCACGTATACATATACACATAAATCAGTATATGCAGTTATTGTTATTATTATATCAATGTCCTTCCTTGTCCTCTGTTTTGTTGGTGAATTTCCTCTTTGTTGGTGATGTGTAAGTGGACCCGCTAAATCCAGCTAAGAGTGAAGCAGATTGCTTTCCACGTGGAAGCAATTTTAAATTCTAATCTCTGTTTTTTATAGTTCTGGTATATTCCAGCCCAGAGTAAAGTATACCTGACTCTGGGCTAGAATGTATTATAATTATAAAACACAGAGATTAGAATTTAAAATTGCTTGCAGTCTTATCTGTTTCAGATACAGAGTGTGGTGCTGTTATCCAAAGAAAGGAAAATACAGTGAATGCATTTTGCAACACGTGCCTCTAAAGTATGGAGAAGTGATCAAGAGAAAAGTAACATAGCTGTATTATCTACAGTTATCACAAACAGCTGGAGTTTTGAAACTCATGCAGGCAAACTGATCTGTTAATGACTTGAGATGGTGAACAAAATGATATAAAGCTGAAACACGGTGGAATTTCTGTAGGCATTTAGACAGGGCATTATTTCTTTAAGATAATCCTGAATCAGCAGCACACCTGAAATGAGCATCCTTAATTCTGCAAATAAACCCACAGCACAGCTGATCATAGTGGGTTGGGATCAGTATTAAACTTGCCCCTTATTTAGCTAACCCCAGATGTCAAAAGCCAATCAAATCACAATATTTTGCAACACTTCCAGAAAACGTTTCTGCTTTATAACAATCTTTTTTTTATGTGCGTGGCTTCGAGGGGGGGATGTAATCCCATGTAGACCAGCTTTTGAGACTGTTCTCAGAATCGGATTGTTAAAATGTGTCCTCAAGTGTACATGTGTCACTGAAAAAGCCGCACTTTTCAAGATCTTGGGTAGCAGTTTGCAGTGTGCACCAGTTACAGGGACGAAATAGATTGTGGCTGGTTGTTGAGGGGATCCAGTGTAAAGTAATACATTTGCATCTCTCCAGATCCCCTGCTCCTTACATGCAACAAGTGCAAAGTTTACTTCCTATTAGAGTGTGTACTTAATGCATACTAGGGTTTCCTTCTTTTGTCACTGTAGTGTGACTGCACTCCTCCCTGGGTGTGTTTCCTTCCATAATTAATTGGAAACTAGCTGGAACCTTAGTCTTACCTGCTAACAAGGCTTAGTTACTCTGCTGAGCTGTTGATCTGTTGCTGACCAATAAATGCAACTTTTGAAGTTATCTTGACCCCTGCTGGCTTCCTGGTATTAGGGCAGACTCAGTGTAAAGTATCTTCACATGGTCAGTATCCTTCTCAAACCTACGGGACACTACAGTGATGCTGGCCCAAGTCCTAGCTTGGCACAGTTGCATGTGGAGCAAAGCTGTAGGAGTTAAGGGGCATGGTTGGGGTGACTGTCAGGCAGGGC